GCAGGCAGCCCCTGCCTTCACCTGGGCCAGGCTCCCTGCAGTTCAGCTGCAGGAGGACAGTCCTCCAGCAAAAGAGCAACAAAAAAATAGCTGCCTGAGTGCTCAGTGACAAACACGGATTTTTGGAAACTCAACCCTGAAGTGGCCGGACACACACCATAGCGTCATGTGGGAGGGAATGCAACCCTCCCAGTCACACAGGGAAATTTTGAGATGCCAAAGATGTCTGGGAGCCTATAAAGCATATAACCTAACTTGGAAATGTGTTACTATTCAAACAAACAAACAAAATGCAGAAGAGAGCAGTTGCTGCTCCTATGGCAGCAGGCCATACCATATACAATTATGCCTCCTCAACGTCAAATACATAGACTGAGAGGTTGGCTGTATGATCCAACTTTAAACACTGAACTTAAAAAATCATCTGAAAAGATGCTGTTCATACATTAAGTTAGCATAATTCTTACGCAGGATTTCAGTTAAAGGCAGCAGCTTTCTGAAATGATTCTGGAGTGAGATATCAATGTGTCTAAAGGCCTCGTCTTAAAGGAAGACACTGTGAGACAAAATAAAGCTTTTAAGAGCAGACAAAACTTTGTGGGTCGTCAGTTAAGACTAAACTGTGCAGCGAACTTCCTGTTAGCAGGTTGGCACTGTGAACACTGAAGATGAAGGTGATGTTCTCTAGTTTATATTCTCTTCTCCCTGGGCTAAAAACACATTCTCTTCAGCAAGATTTTCCAGAGTTTTTCTTACTGTTCTAATTTAATCTCTGGTTTCATATACCTGAAATTTAGGTCTCTGAATTTTTCCATTGACGAATACTGTAAAATAAAGTTACTTAAGATTAAGGCTACTACAATTGTGCAGTCTTCACAAGGTCTGTGCATGATTACATTTAGCTGGCAATAAAAACAATGTGGCTATTGACTTTTTTGATATCTACCCAACTGCCTCACCACTGCAGCGTGTGAAGTCTGTTTCATGGTGTGTTTCGTGGTGTACTTTTACAAAAGTATAGCAAGCTAAAGTGTTAAATTTAAAATGCCTAAGTATACCTAAGTATAACTTTAGAAGGAGCATGAGGTCTCTGGAGCAAAACAAAAAAACATTCTGGAGTAAGAGAGTTTCCCCATTGAATCAGGAACTTCAGGACTGACAAAGTTAGTGTGAGGATAGGGAAATAAAAACTGTGGGAGAACTCTTGAACCTACTGAACGACAGAAATTCTGGCCGCTGATGTCAGTGGGGCAGGAATCTGCTCTGTGTTTCCTAAAGCAAGCAGTTTTAAGACGAGAAACTGTCTTGTGCTTAGAGTTTCCAGCCTCCTGCCTCATCCTGTCGTTTGTGATCATTGTTGTGTCTGTGATCCTGGCTGAATCTCTCTTCTTCGTTTTCACACCTGTTAATTTGGGGAACACTTATGTAATGCTAGAAAGCGTATTAGTGTCTGTGGAAGATATTGAGATCCTTTGCTAAAAGCTGGTATACAACGGTTAGGGTAGAATTATGCAACCCATTTCTTTCCTACTCTGACACCTTAAGTGCTTATCTTGTCCCAGTGCTAGCATTACTGACTTTTACTCCTAATTTCCATGTATTTTCCTGTCAAATCCTTTCTAATCTGAGGCTGAACTGCTCTGTTGAAATTTTATGCTTGTGTTAAATTTCTCACTTCTTTGTCTGCCTGACCACATCAAAGTGCATTTTAATATACACATATATTGTATCATATTCAACTATTTGAATATATTTCTCAAGTCTTTCATTTTGGAATACAAAATCATCATTATCTTTGCATCATCCTGGAAAAATGATAATCAAAACAAAATTTGGATCTTTTATTTTCAAATCTCTGTGCACTGCCGCTATGGTTATGCACCTCAGCTTACCAACCCACAAAGCACAAGGCCTAACAGCTCTTCCCTTGACAGCAGCTCTGGAAGACTTGACTTGAATTAAACATTTCATAACAATTGCTGTCAGTGCAAATACTCTTTTTTTTTTTTTCTTTTTGTATTCTTCTATTTATAGTCATACCAAAATTGGGAGGAGGGGAAGAAAGAGATTTATATTCATTGCACTAGATATTTTTTTCCTCTTTTGTGAATCAAAACAAAGTTGGGGTGACATCATTGTTCTAAGAAGACAAAAAGAATCACAAAGAGGAACAAGGAGGACTTCAGACCAGTGTCGTGAGGACCAGCTATTTAAGAATCCTGAGCTAGGCCTCACTTAGATACCACTTCCAATCCCAGTGGTAAAGAAAGGTAGAATTAAGTCCATGTAACTCTCTTCTCTTTCCTTTTTCCCCCAGATATGTTACTTTCACTAGCATTTACATAACCGCACTGCAGCAGTACTTATTGGGAAGGTGTCTATCAAAACACCCTTGTAATTATGTTATCTGGAGGTCAGAAAGACCCCAAACAGTGACACCATAATTGGCTTTACGTGTTTCATGTCAGTCAATAGTGTTCATTAGGTTATTCTTCCTTATCACCAAAGCTGACAGGAAATTACAAGGTAATTTATCTTTTTGTTGTCGTTGTTCATTTTCACCGTTAAGTATTTAGTGCACAGCCTTGCACGTACCCCGCAGGGCTCTACCTGTTGCACTTATCTGCGTGCATGGGAAGGCTGCCTTGCAGGGGGCCCTCAGGCGACGGCGCTGCCCCTTTGCCCTCGCACTAAGGGGGAGCAGCCCCGGTGCTTTCCCCCTGCTCCCCCGCTCTCATCTCCCCGCTAAAGGAGGCCCCGCAGCCCAGCACAACCCCCGGGCTGCTTGCACGTACCCCGCAGGGCTCTACCTGTTGCACTTATCTGCGTGCATGGGAAGGCTGCCTTGCAGGGGGCCCTCAGGCGACGGCGCTGCCCCTTTGCCCTCGCACTAAGGGGGAGCAGCCCCGGTGCTTTCCCCCTGCTCCCCCGCTCTCATCTCCCCGCTAAAGGAGGCCCCGCAGCCCAGCACAACCCCCGGGCTGCCGCGCGCGGGGGGTTCGCGCTCCCCCGCGGGCCGCAGCGCGCAGGTGAGGGCGGC